TATCCTAAAGCCTACGAGTGCAATCCGAGTAGAGTTTTCAATACAAATTTAAGCAGACTGGAGGAAAAATTGGGCGCTGTGGCTGACGGTGCTAAAATATTCCAACTAAGGGTACTACACGTGTCTTATCCGCCACAATGGACCAGGATTTCATATTAAAAAACACTGACTGCAGCTCAGATCCCAACTGAGCAAAAGCAATCGCGGTCTGACCGAGCTAGCCCCTCATTTGGCAAAAGTCCAAACCACGAGTTTCAGCGTACCGCGGAAGATTCTAACGCGTAAGATTGTTTGTCGTGAAAAATGTGCGCTGAATGCCGTCGGCTTTACTATCTCTTCCCTCTCGTAAGCACCAATCCACTTTGCTGCAGAGATTGGGTGCAGCGGCTAACAGAAGTAAACGGCTCGTATACGCATATTCAACACCATCTTATGGTCTACACAATACACCAAGTTTTCGCATAAAAGGGGTAGGGGCTTAGATCTCACAGGTGTGAGCCAAAGAACATGTTTACACTTACATGAGAGGTATCGATTCAGTATCTGTGGTGAGAACTATTGAGCAGGCTCATGTGTGGTGTGTCTTTGTAAGGAAAAGTATGATTGATTGGCGATTTTTATGGATGTGCATATGATCGAGTCGGCTTGAGCGTTGACTGAATATGCGTCGACAATCTGGACACTTTAGATGGAGCGATGTTTGTATGCTGGTGCTTGCAGCACTGTTTCGTCAGTCTCTCTGCGATGGATTCGCAAGTGATCGACCATGCCGATGTGAGGAGTGAGGATGCGATCACAATGAGAACTTGTAGTGGAAGCGATGGTAGCTAACAGGACGTAGAAGAGGTGACATCGCTGCGAGCGATGGATGATAGACATCAGGTGTGTGACTTTGTGATGGGGTTGGTCGACGCCGTGAAAGCCGTGATGGAGGCTGCAGATAGATTTGTTGAATATGGTGATATCCAACGAGATCCAATCCTATGCGGCATGTTCTTCGACGGTGTGGGCAGGTTGAAGGTGGTCGTGGAGTGGAGGCACTTTAGACCTGCAAGACTCTTCTTGACTTTGGCAGTCGACATCCGATTGGCTTTGTAGGTTGCTACTCTAGCCTTCGTCACTTTTATCCTGAAAGGTCGATCCTGAAAGAGGATCCTGTGCTGATGAGCACCTTGCAGCTCTTGCAGCGCACCCACAGGGAGCGTAATGGCTAAACTTAGCCAGACTTTGTGGCAGCGTGTGGCAGCGGGGGTGTAATGGCGTACAGTGAACTGGGGACGTATTGAACTTATCCCGACTTTGTGGCGGCGTGCAGCTCTAATTTTTTTTAATCTTTTCCGACTTTTCACTCCTTTTACCGGTATTGTCTTCTGTCTGTCGCTTATACTTGAAAACTTTATCAGAAGTGAAGACTATGTTTGGCTACTACTATGTGCGGCAATGTGCACATCACGTGGCTATGAACATTTCTTAAAATGTTTCATTCGTTTACTCTACCAGAGACTTAGAGAAGACCAAACGGCTTCAGTTCATTGACCTGCTTACCGAAGTTCGGGATCTTAAACGCCTGGCCCATTCTCATGCATCCGATGCAAAATCTCTCAATTTACAACGCGAAATGCAGCCGTTCATCTGCTATGCAAACAAACTTCTCTTGGAAAGTAAGTAAATATATCACTGGCAGCGACGATTTTTTTTCTGCGTGGATTTCGGTGTAGTAATAGTTCTGCGTTAAATTAATCTTGCTTATATCCAAGAGCTCAGCCACGGTCCCAATGCTTGTAATGCTCAAACGGTTAAATTATCAAAAGCTAATATTGCAAAAGTGAGCGCTCTTCATCCTGGACTTGAGTTGCGACTGGTACTACTACGACTTAGAGTATTTGGTGAAGATAAGAAGCAGTCACTAGCAGAAACTACTGCGGAACAAATGTTTACTGCCATGCGTCAAATCTTATGCAGAATGAGCTAAGGTTTTACCCGCAGTATTTAAAATATGCGTGCCCATTTCGACTTATCAGAAACTCGGCTCTTTGTGTACTTTTCCATCATGATCCAGTGCATTTTTTTACCAGCATCACCCTGTTTAACAAATCCATTGTCGCAGTTCAGCAATTTTACGTAATTACGTATTCGAGTCATTTCCAATCTAATCGAATTCTTCCCAACGTTTCGCCAATAACTACTCTCAACACTCCTTGCTCTTCTTATATCGGTATTATTACGCCTAGAGGAGCCGTTCTCAGAATAGCCGCACATTTAGTTTTTGCTCGGCTGTATTTAACCGTGTAATGTGCAGTGCTTAACTTATGCGCGTGCCAAGTTAGTAAGCTCTTTGCATCTCTGCAGTCGATTATTTTATAAAGTGCACCCATTAAGTCTCAGCGATTTATTCTTTTCCATCATTTTGAAGCTGGGCAACAGATGAGAAATCTGAAGGCTAATTTCCTCCAAGCGAAGGAGAAGGCAGATAAAATGGCCAAAGCCCACAAAGCAGAGCTTTCCTGTCGTACCGCGGAAGCAGCGCAACTGAAGGAAAAAATTGCAAAACATTCGAGACAATTGGCTGAACTTCAGGGCCTCCTCGATGCCAAAGAAAAGGGTATTTGCTTACGCTTGTTTTTTGCATTTTCATTTGATTGAGTTATGTCTCCCCTAGTTAAAAACATCCGATCTCAAATTGTACAGTGAACTCAACGGTCGAGTTCGCGGGGATAGGCAGAACTGATGGAGGAGAAGTGGGTGGAATACAAAGCCACGAGAGCTAAAAACGGACAACAGGGAATGAGATGTGTTAAACAAAAAATGAACCAGAAAAAAGGGATATAGGTAGACGCAGCAATGAGAAGGACCTTTATGTTAACTTCAACTGACCAGTGAATCACATTTGTACAAAAAAGAAAATGGTGACCCGTGCTGTCATGTGCACTTGCCTAGGGCAAAGGCTCACCAAAATGATATCATCTACAGCTAAGAGTCCTCCGGACAA